GTCGGATAGCGGATGCATTGACCGTGCCACGTGCATGTGTTACATCCCCCTTCGTCCCCCGTACGTACCGACCGAGAGACCGCACCCCCTCTTCCTCTCTCTTTCTCCCTCTCTCCCTCCCTTCTGCCGACCTCTCACCGCGAATAGACCCTCCAGCATCCAGAGAGCGCAGTACCGCCGTCCTCCCACTGTCCTCCCTCTCTCTCCCGCCTTCTCCTCCTCGCGTATACATCCTCGCCTCTGCCCCTGCTCCCCACAATACCCCGGTGGTAACCAACCCCCCGGCGGGCTTGTACGTCATGTCGAAATGTTGTGAAATAATTGCGCGAAAAAGTGATTGGCAACAAACTCGAAATTCATCGACGAGAGACGCGAGGGCCGCTCGCGGCGGGATGGGAATTTGGGTGAGGGGGCAGCGAGGGAGTAGGACGGTTGAAACTGCGACGGATGATCCAGCGCGGGGGTAGCGCGGAGGGTCGGTGTCTGACGGGCGAGCGACGTTGAATTTCGAATAGCATTTTCACCAATCGTCCCGCGATTTACCGTTCTCCCTCCCCCCTTATACTCTCCTGCCACCACCCCCATCGTCCGTTTCCCACGCGAGCCGCCACTCGCGGCCCATGTTTTTTGTTGCGTATCGCAACGATTATTGATATTTTTCGATATCGACTGTATGTCGAGCACGACGGACCTGGTTTTAATACGCATATCTCTCGTGGAAAAACGTCGCATTTTATTCGTTGGTTAAATAAGAGAGTTGTGAAAAAGGAACGAAAGGAAGCTGGAAGGAGGAAAAATCAACTGTAGATGATTCTGATCTAAAGTACTAAAAGTCAGATGTGGTGAATGTTTATTCATCAAGTTACATTTAGCGCAAATCGACAAAATGTTGATGTAAAGTCATCGACAAGATATGTCAACGCTGTCAATTTTTATTAAATATATACTGATTAAATAACATTTAACGTTTATAACAGGAAGAGGAAAATATTGAAATTTATTATTTGCCACGTGCAGAATGAGAAGCTTGAAAAATTGATGTATGATATTCTAAATACGATATATATATTTCATAGAATTTTAAGATAAACATTGAAAGATCCTAAATATCATCGAGTAAGAGTGATTCATATTACACATAAGGGTCATGAAAATTAGGACGAGAGAAGATAAACGTTTCTCTATTATCAAATCACGTTACATCAATTCGGCGTTATTCTTTTCACGGTCGATTAACCGTCCAGGATCCGAAAACGTTTCGGATCGTCGTGAAAAATCGGTTCGCCAAACCTATCCTAAGACAAACATGTTTCTCCGGAGCACCGTCGTGTGTGCCGCTCCGTAAACGAGCAATCCTCCCCTATTTACGAGGCGGGGACCTGCAGCGCGGTATCTAGTTAATAATGCATCCCTGACCGTAATCCGAAAGAATAACCAGCGATATATGTTGTAACCTCGTAACCTAAGGCCCGTGAGGGGGCTGCTTAAAGCCGACGCACAAAAAAAAAAGGACGAGGGCGAGGGGGGCCCACAACTGTAACAACACGCGAGGGCCGTCCCGGAGTTTCTCGAGACCGCAGACAGGAGGTTTAATCTCACGTGACGCGGGAGAGAGAAAGGGGGATGATAGCGTAAGAGCAGCGGGAGAAGGAGGAAGGGAGATCGAAAGGGACTCACTGTCGTGTCGGGTAGGTGGGGCGGCTTAAAAAACTATTCCCATTCAGTGTTTCCGTTGGAGGCTAAGCCTGGTTATTAGACCGTCGCGGCTAAGCAGCGCGCTTCTCTCATTGGCCGGCTACGAAAACAACGATAAAAGGCGATGAGTATTTTATGGGGTACAGCGCGATGGCACAATGGGACGCCGTGTATGGGCCATTGTCAGGGCATTGTCTGGTTGCGAACGCAAGGCGAGCTTTCTCTCTTTCTCTCTTTTCCTGTCTCTCTCTTTTTCTCACTGGCTTTCCTTTTTCTCTTTTTCTCTCTTCTTTCTCCTTCTCTTTCTTTCCAATTTTTGCCTAGAGCTTCCATTATTTTATTATTTTCAAACACGTCACTTTTTTAGCGAGACCGTTCTCTCTCTTTCTCTCTCTTTCTCCCCCTCTCTGGGCGTGGCTGAGCGATGTTGCAAAAAAACATGTTGGAAATCGCACAGCCGAGGCGACTAGTCCTCTTAGGCATTATTAATGTGAATAGGTGGACAAGTTTACCCCGATGGAGGGTAAAATCTCATTGGGGAAGTAGAGTTGAAGAGAGTCGACCGAATTTTCTTTCATGTTCGTACTCTTCTTCTCGAGATAGAGAATGGTACGCGTCAGGGCACGTAGTTAACTTTTGTGTTGTCAGTGCATTTTTTTGCCGTCAGTTGCACGAAGGTGCTATTACGTCGGCAGGAAATTGTTATAATTTAATCAAGAGATATTTAATAAATTAAATATATATATATATATATATATATATAATGAAGAAGAAAATCTTTAAAAAGAGAAAAAGGAAACTTAAGAATTTTTCTCTATGTATGTCTATATTTTAATTTCAAGTTTTCTTTATTTTCAAATTTATCAAATATATCAGTCTCTTAGTGAAAAGAGTGATTATATTAAATTTTTCCTTATCTCAATGAACATATCGACAAAATTTATGTGTACGCGAAATAATGTTTGTTTCAAAAAAATAAAAAATAAATAAAAAAACTTTTACTTTTACTTTTATTCAATTGCTGAAGATTGAAATTAAAATACAAATTTTTATTTGAAAAATCATATTATTTCTTTGATATAAAATTCATTTTAGCCTTAGTATCTAATAGGTAATAACATAATCAAGAAAAATTATATAATATATATATATCAATTACAAATGTAAAAGTTATTTCAGAATATAATTTTACAATAACGATTTCATATTATAGAAAAAATGCATTTTTAAAAGTAGCTGTACAAAATTAATAAAATTCCTGTAATCGTACATACTGGTAAGGTAAAAAAGTATTGTTACAACCCCTTCTGATTCTGTCATTTTCGTTATAAAAACATGAGTTCTCGACAAAATCGTGTGTAAAGAAACGCAATGTGCATAAACGAATGATGCTTGTATTTTACGACGTATAAGAGAGATATCCGAGGCAGTCGGTCGCACGAATGTCTGGCTATTTACCCCGGTCGGAGGTGTTGAAGCGTGCGCCAACAAGAGATCGGGCTCTGCCTGAAGCAGTTAAGGAGGGTTTTAGTCTCGGGGGTGTCGGCCCGAATTATGCAACACGAAGGAATACGGCGACTTAGGTATTCGCTCGCACGTAAATCCGCCACCCCGGGCACATTTCGCCGTGAAACACAGCCGGGGCGCGTTCCATATTTAATCGCTCGGCGGTTTTACGTCTCCATATCTGGCAGGAGGTTGAAACTTTCGATAAAACGTCGCCGGATCCTCGAGTCACTTAGTATGAATATTTTTACGAAGTACCATCGATGAGGTCACGCTGTACATAATTTATTGAATTATTCTAATAACCGATAATATAATTAACATTAACTGTGCACATTTTCGACTCACATCTTTAGCTACATTTAGAAACAAATAAAAGTATTGTAATTTCGACGATTTCTAGACAGAAAAATAAATGAAGTAAGAGAGAGATAGTATTAACTTTACAAATTGAATTTTATGTAATCTGAAACATCTTTTATCTACGCAGATAATTTTCAAGGACTCCCGCCGGAAGCGATACCCGCTTTTTTGCAAAATCTGCAAAATTCAGCGGGTTATAATATCGCCAAACCGATCGCGAGACCGGCAGCTTATCACCCTTATCACAGGCCGAGTCACCAACCCCCTCAGCGACATTTACCGCCGAACGCTCATCATACGCTGCAACAACTATTCTACAGGGGTCCATACTTGACAGGTAAGAAACTTGCATAATTACGTGAACTATGTGACGTGGACAGCATGAAATAACACGAGTTCAGCATATCCCTTTCACATCCGATATTCTTTGACGTTATTTCAATTTGTTCTCTTGTCCGTCATTTTTTAAAGCAACAACATAATATTTTTTAATACAAGCCAATATATTTATACATACTATCGCTCATTTGCTATATAATTTAAAAGACAATGTTTTCCAGAAAATGAATTTAAATCATTA